ACCCTCTGAAAGAAACGCATCACCTACTAAAACCTAATAGATCAGGTTTGAAGCCCCATGTTTCAGTATCTGTCAACAACACAATTGTAAGTAATTTTGGAAGGAATTTTCATTATTCTTTGAGAAGTCTACTCTTAAACTGAAGAAAGAGAAATAATATGCACTGAACTACACTCATGTGACCTCAAAGATGTCGGTAGCGACAAGTTTATTCGTCAGTCAGCAATATCATCGTGTCATATGTTTAGCAATTAATTAACTAGTGAGGCAATAATATTGCATTTACCAGTACTTTGAAAATTATGCCAACAACACTATTCAACAATATTCAAATTTGAATGAACTTACCAATAAGTTTCTACAATCATACCCTCTGCTGATTGGCTCACATGCAAATTAATTGTGGTAACTGTGCAATATCTTACACCTCCCTTTAACCAATATCGTCAGTATCAGAGCCAAATAAATCTATTCAATTCTGCCTTTTGTCTTTCTCTAATATTTCTCTTAGCAATTGGATTGCAGATTTGTATTGAATATCCGGAAATCAGTTTTATGTATATATTATTGCTACTGATCCCTTGGGTTGCTAGTGAGACATAGGGCTTGAAATACACGCCTCCACTTGCTTCTGTCTTCTGCTGTACTTTTCACCTGCATCCATGTTAACCCATTCTGTTTCAACTCCTCTTCACACGATCTCCTCCATGTCACCCTTGCACTGACGTCCCACTCGCCGCTTCCCTCCAGGGTTCCACACGAGCACTGGCCTGACGCGCGATGTCACCCAACGGCCTTCTCAGCGAGTGTCCAATCCATCTCCACTTTCTCCTGCATATTTGTTGGGCGATTGGTTCTTGTTTTGTGTGTTCCCATAGTTTCTGGTTGGTGATTCTTTCCGGCGGCCATCTGATCTTCAGTATAGAGCCAGCGAAGACAGTTGTTGATAAAGGTGTGCAACAGACTGTTGCGAATATTCTTTGTGACCCGCTGGCCAAGTTTCTGATCCATCCGTATTGAAGAACTGACTGACTTGACGTTTGTATTGAAAATCCGAATTTTGTTGTTGATGCTGAGTGACGAAGATTTCCAGATTGGTTTCAGGTTGATGAATGTGTTTCTCGCCTTCGTGATTGTCATCTCGATTTGACATCCTCGTCCGTTCTTCCTTTATTCAACATTGAATTGTATCATCTCAGAGTGTTAGTGAATTTCATGTGTTAGTGTCCAAGGATTTGAGTGGTTTCAGGTGTAATCACAAGCTGGCATCAGTTACACAGGCAATAAAAAACCAGAGAGTACTGGATGACTGTTCCCCTCCATTTTAACGCGACTCTTCAGCAACACATGTGAATCGGGGTTCAGACCAGGACTTTCTAGATACAAGGCGATTTCTTAGACTATCCAGCTACTAGGATATGATCAGGCACTGAATGAATTCCAACTTCTGTCAATTCGCGATATATAAAGCGGTCATAGGCGAGGAAGTGTTCTCTTACCTTACTTAGTGGACTTCACTAGAATTTCACGTAACTTCCAGTGTAGAACCAGTCACTAGTGAACATCAGACTAATTTTCAGGTGTTGGTTTGCGGAGATTCGATGAGTTACAGATGTGATAGCCAAAATTAACTTCGCCGATAGGAATAACGAATGCAAAAAAGAGTGTATTTATGAGGAATGTATGAATACAAGGTGCTAAGATGTGTTTTCACCTTGTTGGCACAGTTTATTTTGATGTATTTTCTGTTGATAATGGATTCTTAGAACCGAAATCATTTTCAAGATGTGGATGAAAGTAAATAATATCGTCGCATTCCTAGTGGCAGCTTTGTCAGCCTTCAGCAGCGTACGCAATTTCAGATAAGAGTCACCTAGAGAAAGGTAAAAAAACCGGTAGATTTATAACATTTTATGAACGTGAACATAGTCTAAACATCCATAATTGTTAAATGATTGCATAATCTTATTAACAAACGCGTCTGATGTACGCTTTGCACAAAATCTATTTGGTTTTGGAGTTCGATCAGTGATCTTTCTGTTCGTTTCCTTGGAAAAGTTCACAGATGTTTGATTCTTGTAAGTTTAAAACTTAGGCACTTGGCCATTTTTTAATTCAGTATTCGTTTGTTTATTCAACAAATATTAGTATTTGGAGGGTGACATTTTGAGCACGTATATCTCCACAACTTTGAAACTTGTTTATTATAATTCTAGTTCATCGTTTCTCATAAGAGTTGAAGAGTTTTCTGAAGAATACTCAGGGCAGGTAGTATATGATAAGTCAAAGAAATGATGTTTTATTGTGTGGTTAATCAAATAAACAAACTAATATGGAACTCAGATGTTTAATTAGTTGGAGGTTTCATTAGTTTCACGGTAAATGTCGTTACTAACCAGCACAGTAAAACAATTGATAACAGTTGTGTTTACTTTTCTAGACCCCAGAATTTCTCTGTAGTGCACAAATAAATGTTAAACACAGAACCGTCAGCTTTCCACTGCTGTATGATTTTTCAATAACGGTTTTGACAAGTTAATCCGACTTTCCATCAAATTGTCTCTTCATAGATTAATGGCAAAATTAAACGTTAAGCACCACTAACTACCAATCAGCGAATGACCTTGAACGCACGAATGTGTATGGAATACAAATATTTATGAAAAAAAAAGCATAAAAGCTGTATGAAAGTGTTACAGAGGATACCTTGCTCTCACATGTGATAAAAACAGCTCTCAGTTTTAGGTTGGAGTATCAACAGAGTGTAATTCCATTGTGAGTAATATTTGCTTTGATAAAGTCTTATAGTGTTATGCAGTAATACATACTGAGCAAAAATTGCGCTCGAAACGTGGTCATCAGTAAATATTACTGTCTAACAAACGCTGAGAGACTTTATCAAAATAAATGCTACCCACATTGGAATTATACTTTACCACAGTCAACAAGTTCTATTCTTATATCAACATAGTAATTAAACCACATTCTACGCATGTAATTATTTAGGTCTTCTAAAACCAACAATAACCCTAATCTTTCCTGAGCCTAACTCTAACGTGAAAATATCCCTTAACTAATTGTAATCTAACTCGAACCAACCCTAATGTTGCCTTTATTAGGTTAACCTAACCCTAACTTGTCCTTCGCTTAAAGCGTAACTTAATATTTCCAAAAACTAAGCTGAATCTTGCCAGGTGTTCCATTTAATGGCATAACGCTTCTATGAGCATATTTTATTGATGATGACAACATTATTTGTTAGGTTTGACTAACTTGCTCAGTAAGTGCTTCAAGGTCAATGTTGTGGTCGCATTCCATTGGTGGTAGTTAGTGGTGCTTAAAGTTTAACTTGACCAGATTAATTTCCCTTGACAAAATTACACAGTGATGCAGTATTATTCAGTGAAGACATTTCAGGCACAATTCATTATTCATAATCGCATCACTGTTGTTCTAAAATTCAAATAATTTCCTCATGCAGCCAGGTGACGGCTTATGGCGAGTTGTCATCTGAAGTGGTGACGACTAGTGGCGTCCGTCAAGGATGCCCATTATCCCCATTTCTATTCAACTTCATCATAGACGTACTCATGGACTTAACCCTAACACACTTCAGCGACTCAGGGATTGACTTGCTACCAGGGAATAATCTCGTTGACTTAGAATATGCAGATGATATAGTCCTCCCACCTGGGTGAGGACCCTAACATAATGCAGAGTCTACTGAACACCTTGAGCTGCAATCTACGAATGTTTGGCATGCGATACGCTCCTACCAAATGAAAGATGATGCTACAGGACTGGACTACGTTGACTCCTAGTTTAGAAATAGGAAGTGAAGTGGTAGAGCACGTTGACCGCTTCACTTACTTGGGAAGTACCATCAGCCAGCACCAACGAGTTGATCTCTGACGAAGTCTCAGCACGGATGCAGAGGGCTAGTTTTGCATAAGCCAGTTTACGCCGTCTCTGGCGTAGACGTGATATCCGACTATCGACCAAAGGGTGTGTGTACTGCTCAACAGTCCACTCCGTCCTCCTTTATGGCTGTGAGACCTGCCCATTGAGAGCAGAAGTCATGAAAAGATTAGCTGTCTTTGATCATAGGTGCCTGCGTTCTATCTCCCGTGTGAAATGGTATAATAAGCTGAGCAGTACTGAGGTTAGGCAACGGTCGAGTGCTAGGTAAGGCGGGGAAATCAGTCGACGAGACTGTGAAGCTACATCGACTGAGATGGTTAGGACATGTGTTACGTATGCCTAGTCATCGCCTTCTTCGACGGGCAATGTTAGCTGATATAGGGTCAGGCTGGAAAAGAGCTAGCGGCGGTCAAACCAAAACATGGCACTAGTCAATGGAATCTACAACAGTTAGTTTAAGCCGGTCACGTAGGGAGGTGTAGACTTCTTGGTTGGGGTCCTCGGGACGGTAAAAACCAATGGTTGGAAACAGTTGGTGACATGGCTCAAAATCGTTCTCAATGGCTGGTGCAGATGCATCCACTCCTTGTGACTTATGATTTCCAATTAAACTGTTTTGTTCTTCGTTATTACTAATCCTTTGTCTCACACCTCTGTTTACTGTCTATATGATGCACTTCTCCTACTTTCTTCTCTTGCTTTGTGTGCTACAAGAAGGGAGTGTGGCGGCTTGAACTGCCGCACATATGTGCAAAGTTCTATGTCGAAAACAGACAGACAGACAAATAATTTCCTTACCTAAGAATACAGTGAGATGTTTTTGATGTATTTTAAATTAAAGTATGCACTGATAATGATGTCTAGTAAAGCAATAAAAGCTTCTCAGCTAAATCACCCACCTCAGAGAACACAACTACGCTAAAATCATCCACCTGAGCTATAAATCTTCTGCATTATATCTAAATCTTTTGTAGTGAGATGTTTTCAAAAAGTTGCATGTAACCCTTTCCTTTTTCTTCTTCTTGTTCATGAAAACATTTGCATCATTAATTCCCCTGTCATTTGTTTAAAATTTTTAGATGAATTTCAATGACGATGTAATTTCCTGCTTATATGAAAAGCTTACAGATCAAGTAAGAACAGCTCGGACAGCTTTATGGTCAGCTTATCAATTATTTAATTGTTGTGAAATAAATGATATTACAAATCAATTAATGAATCGTATGATTGATTCTGTCTCAAAGCATCTACTACGTCCAGTGGAGATAACTGAGATGGCAAGAAGTGAATTATCACAATTCCAGAATAAATTATCCGAGATTGATCACTTCTCTGGTAAAATATCAAAGAATACACTTGACTCTGTGCATAAAGTATATTCACCAGCAGTGAATGACAATAAATGGCCTATGTATACACCAAGCAGTGGTAATACAAATTCAAGTAGTCAACCGATAATTTGGTCAGGTACATCTCTCCCGTTTTATCAACAATCAATAATTCAAAGCAATGCTTATAATCAAGATAAAATAATAAACAATTCAAATGAAAGACTGAGAAATTTAATTAGTAATCAGCGTATAAGTGGACAAGTGTACGCGAATTCCACGCTTATGCTTTCTCAATCTATCCCTCGGTCAATACAACCAACTTTATTGATTACACCATCATTAATTTCTGGTAGTAATAATAATTCATCTCGTTATCCTTGTCATCCACCGAATTCACAGCTTCATCATCATCACCTTCAGCAACAGCAGCCGCAGCCCCAGCCGCAGCATCCTTACCTTCAGCATCAGCCTACTTCTGTTGAATCATGTAATAATCATGATATATTATTGTCTACTGGTTTTTATAAAAACTGTATGTAAAGAAAGGATGTTGTTCATCAATGGTTTCAAGATCATATTTATTATTATGTGAAATAAGTGAGAGAAAAAAACAAAAACAAAATAGTTTTTTCTTTTTTGTTTTTGACTTCTCTTGATTTGATTTTATTCTCTCCTTTTTTTGTCGCTTGACTTTTCATTAACTTTGCTCTTTGAATAGTCTCATGCTCATGCTCATGCTCATGCCCATCATCCTCATCATGTTCTAGTGTTGTTTGAAGTGGGTTTTTTTTCAATTTATACCAACATATTTATTGATTTATTTGTTTCTCTTCTCCTTGCCTTCATTACATGCATAATGTGATAATCATTCAATGTTTCCAATGGTCAATATCTACTATATGTATGTATCTGTGATTTTATTTTACTTAATAACTTCTTCATTATGTAAAACCAAATGAAAAGAAAAGTAAAAAAAGTAAACAAGACAAAACAACAAACAAACAAACAGAAAACGAAATCAAAATAACCTCCTCAATCTAATTGAGTTTATTAAAACAAATCATAACCGATAGAGTAATAGAAACTATTGAATCATTGAACAAGTTTTAAGTTTTATTTATTTATTTATTTTAGTGTTTTTGTTTGCAATTTCTTTTAGTTTAAAAGTATACTTACTTACTTACTTACTATGCTATGGATCATTGTGTTGTTATTATTATTTTTTCTTTTTTGATGGTCTAATTCTATCTATTCAAGTGTTTATCTTTATTTCTCTGTGTTGTCATTACCATTTATGACAACCACTGTCCATCGGTGTTTATTCAGTCTATCATGTTATAAATGTGTATGCGGATATTTTGAATGGATGGATATGGATGATTGGTTGGCTGGTTGGATGGTTGCGTAGTTAGTTAGTTAGTTAGTTAATGAGGTGAATACTTCGATTGCAGTTCAACTTTTATCGTTAGGATTGTTCCTTTATTGTCGAAATCTAAGTGTTGTTTATTGTATTTTTAATATAATTTTTGATTGATTGAATTATTGTATTATTGTTAGTTAGTCCTTAAGAAAAAAAAATATGTCAGCTTTCTGAATTCTATTTTATGTTAAAAATTCAAGTTTTGAAGACCTATGGGTGAAATTTTATTTTTTTTCCTTCACGTTCCTTAATGGAACATAGGGCTTCAAGCTTGTGGCTAGAAGTTTATGTAGCAGTGGTGTTTATTTTACAGGATGGGGTTGCTAGCCTCATGCCCAACCTTTCCTTTTCACCAGCATTATTTCTGGCTTAGCGAGGTAAAGGAGTGCGTCGGCCGGGGGTCGAACCCCGGACCATGTGCATGGTTGGCAATCGTCCTAACTGCTATGCCACCGACACACATGGGTGAAATGAAAATATAAATATATATATTTCGCAATGGTGGGCTTGTACTGCCTTCTAGATTCTGTGAGACGTGGTCACTGAAAGTGGAAGGTTTGAAAAATAAAAATAAACCATTCTAGACCATAGATATAAGGATAAAAATTGGGCCCTGTGGTACAGAATAATTCCATAATGGAAAAAATTTTATTTTGATAAAATCACATAGTGTTGTTATACAGTAATATTAAATGATGACCACGTTTCGACCACAATTTATCGCTGCTCATAATCATATCAAGTCACAACTCACACAACTTTCTTGCTTCCTTTATATACGTGAGTAAAAGTGATTAGACCAGTGAATAAAATCAATATAAGATAAAGTACATTCGGAAATAATATTAGTGTCAACAATAAATTACAATAGGATGGGAAATTAGATGTTTTTACAGTAAAATAAATAAGTAACTCGTTAGAATGTTATAATGCATGTGAATTGAAATAGAATTTCAAGATTGTTCACTATCCTCTGATTTGACTGGTCATAATATCTTGCCTATCTCTGGTATTTGCGTTGAGTCATTTTTATTGCATATGTTGGGTGTAGACTCGATAAACTAGGATTCAGTAATCAATCTCTCTCCCCAACTAAACATGTTACTTTTTAAAATTTTGACTCTGTCCCACCTATCCTATTGTGTGGTTGTGTGTTAATGCATGCAGTGCAATAAAGTGCTGAGTTTTTTTCTAAATTACTTATCTTCTTGGTATCAGTCATTCTAAACTTAGCTAAATTCTTATGTTCTGATAATCTCACTACTCCTAATCTACTAGTTTGACCTATGTTGTTGACCTCACTCACAGTCATTGCAAGATATTTTGTAAATAATGTTATTTTGTTTTATTGGGTCCACCGGCTCCTTTAGGCAACATAGCTTGTCTCTGAGTATCACTCAGAGATTGATTACTGAGTCCTGGTTCATAGAGTCTACATCCAACACATGCCATTAAAGTGAATCAACGCAAATACAAGAGACATGGAATATATGATTACCAGTCAAATCAGAGGATAGTGAACAATCTTAAAATTCTATTTCAATTCACAAACATTATAACATTCTAACGAGTTACTTATTTATTTTACTGTAAAAACATCTAATTTCCCATCCTACTGTATTTCATTGATGACACTAATATTATTTCCCAATGTACTTTATCTTATATTGATTTTATTCATTGGTCGAATCAATTTTACTCATGTAAATAAATGAAGCGTGAAAGTTGTGTAAGTGACTTGATATGATTATGAGCAGCGATAAATTGTGGTCGAAACGTGGTCATCATTTAATATTACTGTACAACACTGTGTGATTTTATCAGAATAAAATTTTATCCATAATGGAACTAGACCATAGGTGTCTGTGTTCATGTTTTCATATTGGTTGGTGTAATGTGGTCAATAATAAATAATTCAGTTAGACAACAAACCATCAAAGAGCCTGTCGCCCATCAAATATGCAGATGGAAATGGAGATGGATCGGACATACACTAAGGAGACCTTTGAGTGATATGACGCTCCAGGTAGACTGTCGAGTAGAATCCGAGGAGAAGGCTGTGTTGGGCGGAAATGCGAGCGTTAGGACAGTCGTGAAGCCAGCTAAAAGGACTGTGGAGAAGCGACTGAAAAGAAGATGTGATGCTCATGCCCTGTGTTCCACTTGGAATCCATGGTAATGCTAATTCAATAAACAGAATGTTAGGGGTAATGATCGTATTGTGAAGCTGCATGGACTTAGATGGATAGCATATGTGTTACGCATGCCAAGTCATCCTCTCCCTTGATCAGCAATGTTCACTGATATACGATTAGGTTAAAAAAACCAGTTAGGGTCAATTAGACCGAAACATAGCCTTGATCTAGGGCAGTTGGTTTGAATAGAAGCCTTTGGTAGCGTTGAACACGCTATGATTTGGAAACTACTTCAGCGCTACTTCTTAGTGTTACGAACGTTTATAGATCTCATTAATCAGCTATATGCTTATGTCTCATGCCACGTGATTTACTATAGAAAACTTACTGAAGAGTTTGAAGTGAAGACAGAAGTGAAACCGACGCTCTCTTGGTCACGTAGCAAACAGTGGGAAATAAGAAAACGGCACTACGACAGACCGACGAATGATCCTGGGAGATCTAAACTGCGTATATGTTTCATGTCTCATGCCGTGGAAACTGAAGGTTTTTAAAACGACAATCAACAAGCTGACTAAAGATGTAGAGAAGACACAACTCCAACTGCAAATAAAGATAAAGTTGATGAAGCCATCCAACTAACAACAACAAAGATCAATCAACATCAACGATAGATATGTGAAGGAAATCGTCATTGGCTCTTGTCTTTGAGAAACGCCAAGAATAAGGACGATAAAGTCATTCAGAATCGGATAAGGAAAGTGAGACAAGCGTTCATTACTCTAAAGTCAATGTGGAAATCAACAGCAATTGCTACAACGAAGAAGATCCCAATTTTTAACACTGTTATCAGGCCAGTGGTTTTATGTGGCTCAGAAACTTGGATTGCACGTGATGAAAGGCATAATCAACAGGCTATATACACTTTCATCAGTACGTCTTCACTTTGTTTGACATTCATGATATCAAGCGGATCAAATATTATGATCTGAAACGAATGATTTTGCTTTCAGAATGAAACTGTGGTAAGGTTTCACCTCCAACAGTGTAAACTGATAATAGTGAATTAATTAGCGAACCCCCAAAATTGATTCAGCGTATATTACTACCAGTTTGCTCAAGTAGTTGGCCACAATTCGAATGGTTTTGAACTGATTCGGCTGTCTAAGATGAGTCAAACCTGGTCCACAAATGAAGAACTCTGTCCCATATCAGCGAAACGACCATCCGGTATATAGGTCACTTCAATCTAGCTGGCAGGAAGAAATGGCGATGGATTGGCCATACTCTGAGGAAACCATCAAGTGACATCACTAGACAAGCCATTGCTCGAGTGAAACCCGAAAGGGAAGCGGCGAGTTGGTCGTCAATCCAAGGATGACTTGGAGGAGGTCATGTGAAGGGGAGATGAAAACGTGTGGGCTGACTTGGAGCCAGGTGAAGACTCTAGCAGAGAACCGAACGCAATGGAGACGTACGGCTGAAGCCCTATGTTCCTCTAGGAACTAAAGGAAACAATAATAATAATAATAATCTAGCTGGCTACCACACTACTTTTCGGTGTGAACATTATCGAACTACTCATTTAAGTCAATCAGTAGTACATAGCATCGTGCATTTTGTAATGTCACACACACACAGTGTGTAAACATGTAAGTACACTGGTAAAGTTCACACAACATCTTAAATTTGATTTAGGCACAACAAAGCAAATACTACTTTATTTCACCTCGTTCTGTAAGGTGATTGGTATCAAAAAAATATATACGTAGAACTTTGAAGACAGATTTTTTAAAATACAGTATGCCTTATGAGAAACAGGTAAATCAATAAATACTGGTACACCTTGATGTAATTCACCTGTAACTTTCATGTCAAATAAATAGATTACAGACATTTAAAAACAAGTGGAACACGACGTAATCTTGTATGATGTCAATCTAAATAAGTCACATTGTTAGTAAAAAAAGGCTAAATTGATTGGTTGCTCTCTGTGTGCTCATTACTGCTAACTACACATTAAAAAAATACTTTTTTTGAGTTTTCGACTGCTTAATGCTGCTGTAAGAGTATAATCATTTCACACATATACACTGCATACTGCTTATTTTTTCGATTTTGTACAACAATTGTATAGTGAGTGATTTAATTTTTCAATGTTCAGTTCCTATGATATAATTTAGTTTAATTCAGATTAGAAGCATTATCTACACACTTGTTTCATGTTAGCATTTTCTATAGTTTGGTTTGTAAGGGTTAGTGATGTTTTTACGAGTTGATCACGGATTGATATCAGTTAGAGAACCATTGAAAACCAGCACTGGAGTACTGGACAGCTGCTGTTTCATCCTAGTTTTGGGAATCATCGGCAGTACACACCCACCACCAAGGTTCGAACCCAGGACCTTCCGGTTACAAGGCAAGCTCGTATACCATTCACCCACTGGGACCCAATTCTATGGAAAATACCTATCGGTATATTAGAGGGAAAAGAACAAGAAGTTTAGCAAACAGATATCTTTCCGGTGATTTTATTTTCAAAAGGTGTTCAGTCGCATTTAAATCCATAAATTTGCATGGATACAATTATTATTTATTTAATTCCACATAGTAACGAAGCCGAATTAAACGTAACAATTATTTTCAGCTTGATATGGTTTACGAGAGGTTTAGAGACAAAATTACACAGGATTAGGATATAATTGTAAAATAGATTTTTTAAACGAATTACAATATATGAACAGGAAGAGCATGGAAACGAACTTAAAATAAATGATTTTATGACTGAAAAAATAGGATGAATTGAATGAAGGCAAAGAGAGAAAATTACACACACAGAGAACAAAACGAAAACAAACTGAAGTCTAAAGGAACATACCGAACTAGGTCCATGGTAGTTGTAAAGGCTGGACTAGTTTCTTTTGAAAACACACCTCCGTGTTTTCGATGCATATGGCGATGACTTCTGCAGCACAAAGAAGTCTGAAACACATTGCGTTTAATAGATTTTTTACACAGTAAACAAAAGTCTACTATGTGAAATTAAACAATTAATAATTGTATCCATGTAAACTGATCTATATAAATGCGACTGTACAGCTGCTTTTGAGAATGAAATCGCCGAAAAGATCGCCATCTTTGCTGAACTTCTTATTCTCTTCAATCTAATTTCCCGATGGGTATTTTTCATGACTTATCAGACAAACAAATTCATGATCAATTAACGGAAAAGCTAATATGTCCCGCCGTAGAAATAGAAATCTGTATCATGCGATAACATATTTTAAATTTTGTGCTAATAAATTAGACAGTTATCATTTATCTTACTTGTGTAGGTGTGAATATTGATTTCAAAAGATTATTCTACTCTGATTGTCAATATACATTAAGCTGTCTGCTGCTATCCACTCTCTAGAAATTAGCGATAGACATAAATAACTAAGGCGCATTGGCGTATTGGGTAGAACGTCTTACAACGCACGCAGATTGGTGTGTGATTCTCGGCCACTGGTGCGCTCCTTTAACTCATTTACCGGATAGTAAGCCCGATAGAAACGGAGGGTTAGGTGTGAGGATTTCGACGTCATCCCATATAAAGAAAACAAATGATGACCACGTCCACAGTCTAATGTTTCCTTTCATCAGCCTCTTCCACGTCCTGTCGATCAAAAACCAGTCCATCTTGGTGCACTGGCATCGCTTGCCATGTTACAGGATGGATCTCTAGGGGTCATCCGCGGATCGTAACGTCTGCCTGCGCTCATCCTACGTGGCGTCCTTGATCTGATCTCCTGCCGAGAACGAAAGCATCAGTCGGTTTCTTCATCTTCTTCGCAGTGGAGTACTACGCATCCTCTAATGATACTGGGGGCAGATCCATGACAGTTGAAGAATTCAGAGGTCGAGAAGTGGCATAATTAAGGATTGTTTCAATTTGATCTGTACTTATGACCAAGTCGAATTAGTGTCCTCCTTGCTTAGCTTATTCATGCCTTATAAAAAGTTTATGAATGTGCTCCAATATGTGAAAACTGAATAAAAAACCTAGGAAAACCGAAGAAACATGCATTCATCTTGTAATTCATGCGATCAATATCCTTTCTAAATATTTATAATTAAGGAAAACTCAAAGAACACTACAATTTTTATAGGGTTTAGATTTATTCTGGTTGTAGAATTTCATCACGAAGCAAAGTTAGTTAAGGAGATCATTGAAAACCATGGAGCAAGTGGTCAGCTATTTCCTCCTATTTTTCCATTTTATTTCAGCAGTGAGCATTCATGACCCCACCACTGATCAAACCCGGAACCTTCATATTACCAGACCAAACTCGTTAACCATTCAGCCAATTGGGCACAAAATTCACTGGCGCGTGAATTATAATTTTCATTAATTCATGATATAGAGCTACCCTAAAGCAATACCTTCCTTGAGCTTCAACTCCACCTTCACATGGTGAACCCCATCGTTTGCAAATTCTCACTACAGCAGCAATCAGTGACCTGGATACTGATATATTTAACTTATGGGATTTGTGAGGATTTGGATCAATTCCGATTGTTAGGACATTTAACCTAGAACAACAGATGACATAATATCGGATTCAGTGATATTACAGCTGAAATCCTTTATAATCAGTCTAATTGGATTTATAGCGGTAATTAATCCAGAACAAAAAGTAGTTCTAACAAAAGGGTAATATTAGTAGAAAAATATGTCAACCAACAATATGTTTGATGTCACAAAAAATCGAAGACTTACAAGCGAAAACCGACAAACTGGTCGAAGAAGCAGCCAGAGAAGACAGGACTCGAGGTGAACATAGACAAGACAAAGTTTATGAAAATAACCAACCAACAATAACAACAACAGGCACAGCAGAAACATCCAGCGCCACTCACCGACAACGGAAGGGATTTGAAAGAGGTTACTTCATTCACTTCACTTATCCAGGGAGCATTGTCTCAACTACAGGAGGAACCGACGAGGATGTCAAATCGAGAATCGGGAAGGCGAGAAACACATTCATCAACCTGAAACCAATCTGGAAATCTTCGTCACTCAGCATCAACAACAAAATTCGGATTTTCAATACAAACGTCAAGTCAGTCAGTTCTTCTATACGGATCAGAAACTTGGCCAGTGTGTCACAAAGAATATTTCCAACAGCCTGTTGCAGGCCTTTATCAACAACTGTCTTCGCTGGCTCTATACTGAAGATCAGATGGCCGGAAAGAATCACCAACAAGAAACTATGGGAACAAACAAAGCAAGAACCGATCGCCCAACAAATATGCAGGAGAAAATGGGGTTGGTATGGACACTCGCTGAGGAGGCCGTTGGGTAACATCGCGCGTCAGGCCAGTGCTCGAGTGGAACCCGAAAGGGAAGCGGCGAGTGGGACGTCAGTGCAAGGGTGACATGGATGAGATCGTGTGAAGAGGAGTTGAAACAGTATGGACTAACATGGATGCAGGTGAAAAGTACAGCAGAAGACAGAAGCAAGTGGAGACGTGTAGTTGAAGCCGTATGTTCTACTAGGAACCCAAGGGGACAATTATAATAATAATAACAACATTTCAATGTGAGGACATTTTATTGTGTCCAGATAAATGAGATAAGTCACCGAAACCCTGCTGTGAGGAGATAATATAAAGACTTTTCATTCCCTATACAATTATCATTACAAACCAGAAGAGATACCAATGGAGATAAATAGTTTTCTGATGCACTCATCCCATTCAAGCAGAATTCGACAGAAGTACACGATTTAACGCACAGAAAAAAGTTTTGTATTGAACTTAAATCGATTTCAGTATTAGTACCTCTGTGAAAAATATGATATACGTTGAACAAATACATCGGTTGGCTTGAAGTATGCCTTACTTGAAATTCACCAGTTATAGGATGAAATAAATCCATTTGGATGTGACTGTGTTCTATGAGCTGGATTGTTGTTCCGTTGAGAAGCTTCCATTGTTTTACTGGAAGTATTCAACCCTAACTTCAATAATGAAGTGAGCTTATTTGTATTGTAAATGAATGATAGATATCATTGTATCTCCTGACAACCTTAGTTGTGTGTTTGGCTATTAATCTGCATTTGTATTTTGATCGACTTTCAGTTAGACTACACAGCTCAGTGAACAGAATCACATGGAAATCATGTCTATGTAAGCTATAAGTTTTCTCTATTATTTCAAGAATTCGTTTCGTTTCATCCAATGTAAATCTTCTGTAGTGTGCATAGAAATGTCGCGGCATACATCTGTTAATTTTCAATAAATGGTTTGCAGAGATTTGATATGCTTCAAGTTTGAATGCATATTGATATGAAATGTCGACAAAATAATTTGAAAACTAATCTGATGCTCGCTAGTGACTGGCTAGAGGAATAAGTTCCCTGGAGTTCTAGTGTGAAATGCGAAGTGAGGACAAATACTCACCGACGACACTGACTGTTGACAGTCGCATTCGAATCAAGAACTGATAGAAGATAGAATTCATGAGCCATTTAATAGGGTCCCGGTAGCTGAATGGTCTACGAACTTACCTTGTAACCTAATAAATCCTTGGTTCGAACCCCCTATAGTGGGTGCGTACTGACGATGAGTCTCAAACTGTGATATAGCATCTGTCCAGCACTCCTTGGTTTCCAATGGTTCTCTAACTCATATCAATCCTCAGTCAAACTTGAAAGATATATCTGTAACCTTGGCTTTGTGGTGATCAGCCTTGTACGTCACAGTGAATTAACAACTGTTCCTGCTCCTCCCCCCTTGTTAAGCCGGAAATATAGCCTGGATAGAGGTTAAACTAAAGATAGTTACCATGATATTGTAAGTTTTGTACACTATGCTGGAGGTCGGAGGGTTAAATTCTACTCTAGATTAATTGGGACATAAGAGCAGTACGGTGTTTCCCTCAGACAACTAGCAAGCCAGCTGTGTAGCAACTCCGCTCTGGGATAAAAAAATTTATAAAAAAAGTCAACCCACAGAAATCTGTACATTCTACTGTGGCTTGGAACTGCTCCGGTAGTGACTTCGACCATGACCACGCGAGAATTCTACCAATGAACCACCAATGTAACTACTGACTAGTGCGAATAGTTTCCAATTATTCCCGTCAATAA